GGGCCCCCCCGGGGGGGGGGGGGTGCGAATCCCCGGAAGCACCGACAAATTAGCATTTTAAGGGCCTTTCATAATGGATTTCTGAAACCTATAATTCGTAATATTCTATATAAATTTCCATTCCATTTTGGGTATTTATAGGGACATAAAGCAGGATAAGCGTGGTTTCCATGACCAGAAGGAACTTTTTCACAGATAGATGGTTAATACCCCCTCAGCCCCACCATGGTTGGGGCTGAGGTAAGAAAACTTGTGATTATGGCACCTCTATTCTATAGTTATTGGCCTGCCCCTTGGCTAGGCATGGCAAGGTGGTACAAAAAGAGAGAGTTGTAGTAGGTCGTCCACAGGCAGGCACGATAATTTTCACAGCTATAATAAGTTAGCCAACAGCATTTTACTGGCATAATGACCGCAGGCCCGTACGCAGGATTTTCGATGGGGAGGTGCGATTTTGCGACCGAAGCGAACCTTAGGATGGGCGACCGCCACCGTGGTTGGGGCTGAGGTAAGAAACTTGTGATTATGGCACCTCTAGGCCTAGATGGCCAGATATGGCACTCTCAAACAAAATTTAATTATGATTTTTATTTCTTTTATAATTTTAGGGAGCTCTCCCTCCCCCCACCCCCTAATCCACCACTGTGAAGTTGTATCTTTTTATGTAATTTACATCTGTAGGTCTACAGATGACATGGGTCAATTTCCAACAGATTTCGTAGCACATTATTAAAAATCAACGGTTAGAAGAATGGGCAAAAAAAATGTAATGCATACTAGGCCTATAGCATTTCGCGATAATTAGGAAAGATTTTAATGAAATAATAGGTTTAATTTTTGAGAAAAGCCCCAGCAGGCTCTGACAAAATAGCATTTTGAGGGTCTTATATAATGGATTTCTCGAACATATAATTCGTGAATATTTTATTTAAATTTTCATTAATTTGGGTATTTTGTGGCCTGAAGACGTAACCTTATTAGATCCTGTACATCTGCAGGCCTACAGATAACATTGTTCATATTATAGATCAATCTGTAGTCACCGGAGACGATAAATTTCCAACAATTTCATATCATATTTAAAATCAACGGCTGGATGTGCTGGCAAATAGGTCTATATAATGGAATGCATGCTATAGCATTTTGTGATAATTAGGAACGATTTTGTGAAATAATAGGTTTTAAAAAGTGGACCTTTTGGAATTTGAGGGGTGCACCCTTTGATTTATTGGGTCCTTTGCGATACACAGGGCAGCTGATCATTGAGGGTGACACAGACTTGTAAATAGGGCATGCGCAAAATGTGTTCTATAAGGAGGATTATGAATAATTCATGAGATTTAACCAAAGTACCATACGTTAAAAAAATTGTGCCCAGGGAGAGATTTTTATAGACCACCAACTTGAGCCCACCATGGTTGGGACTGAGGAAAAAATGTTATGGTTATGGCAACTCTAGATTGCCGGAAATAGTACTCTCAGACTAAAATTGTTTACAATTTTCTGATGTTTTGTTTTTTTTCCTTTATATTTGTTACTTTTAAAAATTTGGAGGGGCAGCTGGGACCTCCCTCGAATCTGCCACTGCATTTTCTCAGTAGCAAAACTAGGTTCCGAAAAATAATGAATGACCAAATCACAGTGTTTTAAATAATATGAAAGACAGTGTATTGCGAAAATGATAGACATTTAATGCTCAAAATTTCTTATCATTTCCATAATTACATGAAATGAGATGCTTATTCCTCAATAAATAAATGAAGTGCAAGAAACACAAACACATTATATAAAGTAATATGAATAACAATGACTATACAAGTTGACGGATGCTCAAATACCTATAAAAAAGATTCTAGATTCAAGAACACTTTATTGTCCATTTTAAAGTATTTGTTTTTCCTTTGGTTAAAGAGGATAATATTGCATGAAAAATCACAAGACAACTTGGCAAAAATTGACGAGAAATACGTTAAGATATTAACAAGTTAAAATAGTAAAGTAGTAAAAAGTCAAAATAACAATCACTGTTTAAAACAATTTTCTATGTGTACCCCAGAAACAGGCCAACCAATTTAGTAAAGATTATAACTATAAAAACCTAGCATTTTGCTATAAAATGATGACAGTATGCTAATTAAATAAAACATGTATCCGGTATTTCATATCAAAACAATATAAAAAATATTTTTCCTAATACAATTTAGGGGGTGCGATCGCACCGTTTGCACATTATTTAGTGTTACTAGTAAACTATTGGTTTATTAATGCCAGGAGCACCATGTATGGTATTCAGATCATATGGAAAGATCTACCAGGGGATAAATACGCAATAGAGCATTAAGAATCAGGGAAATCAACTTTGGATGGAGGGTCAATATTAGAATAAGCTACTGTACGTTTCTACAGGGGTTCAACTCAGGCCCTACAACGGCTCCAGTAGGGCACACACATATAATACAATATCAATAACGAGCAATGTGCGCCTATATTATACGAGTTTACGGATATTGTGAAATACATATAAAAAATGTGGCTTAAATTAAACGTGTTATGAATACACAGGGTACAATGCTATGCATTATTTAGTAAACCTATTATGGCTTTTGAATTAAACAAGGTGTATACGTTAGATTTTCAGATAACAGACTACTGGTATATTATTTAGTGTTACTAGTAAACTTTTAGTTTATTAATGCCAGGAGCACCATGTATGGTATTCAGATCATATGGAAAGATCTACCAGGTGATAAATACACAATACGTGTTTTGAGCTGCAAAGACATAAAACTAATAAAAACAAGTCACATTAATGCAATGGTGATTGTGTATCTTTGGCCAGACCAGTGAAAATAGCTTTTGATGCGCCTGCATACATTAGGTCAAACGTGAACCTCAATGTGTCAGGGCTCTATGGTCAGGGAGGGAATTCCCCATCCCTGTTGTCACTGTTAGTTCGTGGACTGTGGAGTTATAATTATTTTGAAAAATAAAAAAATAATAATCAAAATAATTATAACTCCATGATTGGACAAAAGATATAATATCCCCATGGGGAGAAAGGGGTGCAGTGTATTATATGATCTGTTAAAAGCACAATTTCTGCACCATAAAAACTTTCCCTATGAACCAGTCCCCAGACCAGGTCTAGTTGGGACCTTGGTTTGGCTCCCCCTGTAGAACATGCTGGACCCCTGTCTGCAAATTTCTGGAGCCACCGCTGCCCCAGGTATTTTTGTTTGGAGACTAATCTAATCTATCGGGCACCTTGGTTCGAACATCCAGTCGGCAAATTTTCCGAAGTTAAACTGAACAGGGCAGGGCTGTTCCCTGCTATCTATGGGCCACGTTCGAAACTGGGTCACCAAAATATTTTTTAAAGTTTCTGAACATTGAAGAAAAAAAAAAGATGTCGCTCCTACCATGTAGGCAACAGATCCTTTTGACGCGACAAATTAATGTGTTCCCCACCATTTTTGGTAATGGGCGTATTATCTTATTATAGTATTAACATTTTTTTTGTTAGCAACAACTTGGTAACGACACACTTTTATACGCTTCAACACGGTATTTGTGCGGTAAACTGTTTGATTTTAACTCATTAAATATCTTTAAAATTAACAATGTTCCCCTAATTGGATTTTTTCTGACTTTTAGTATGTTATTATGTATAATTCAGGAACATATTCCTGTGTTCATTATAATTTTGTCTAAAGATCGATTGGTTCATCTGTAAAAGCTAAGGCAGCGTAAAACTGAAAATTACTCTGATTTTGGATTGAATTTTCGAATAGTCCACATTCGTTCACACTAAAACGAGTTTCTTATAATCCTCAATCATTCTTTAATTAAAATTTGTTAAAATTAGAAATATCGAGTTTTATCCAATTTATGGAAACTCAAGATAAAATATACCATACTTTTAAAACTCATGTAAATGTTCCATTAAATTTGAAGCTCTTTTTGTAGAAATATTAATATGTTTGGTGTTTCATGAAAGATAAATGTATTACAGTAGCATCAAGGTTTAAACAATTGCAAAGTGATTGCCTGTAAGTATTGCGCATTGAGAAAAGAAGGTGCTCTCCATTTCGCCATGTTCAATTTTGTGGTAAAATAAGCTTGTTGGGTATTTGGTAGCGGGGAACACATTAGACTTCAAAGGCATCGCGCAAAGATTCTCACATGTTGCGTGAAGAATCGACTAATCAGTGATAATAATGACACTTTTCTGTGGGGGAAAAAAGCATTATCCTCATTGACATTCGAACCAAAGACTCTGACCCTCCGTATACTCTACCAACTTGGCTACAGTTATGAGGAGAACAGTGTTGGCGCCAGCTGAGTTCAAAAGGGCAAATTGCGTCGCCGCCCTCTTTATTAAAAAAATTCAGTATTTAAAATCTAAAAGCAAATTTAAAAATTAAACATTGAAACATATTTGTTGTTTATTATTTAAAAAAAAAAACTATTCACATATCTTACAAAAGACCTAGTATATTTAACTGTTAATTGTCATTGGTTTTAATCCTGGGTGAAAACTGAGGGTAAAGTGGCTTGCCCAAGTTCACAAACAAAATGCACAGCTAGGGATTGGACCTCCAACCTGAAAGTTGAGATGCTGTGTTAATCCACACCTGCTAAATTATTAACATGGATATTGAAGGTATAAAGTTAGGAATATCAAAGCTATTACTGTTTGTGTTATAGTTATTGTTATTAATATTACCATATTATTTTATGATTATTCAGTTAAAATGGAGGAACTGCTGGTACCAGATACACCTGCTGGTCAGAGGTCAATAAATTCTCAGGAAGAGGTCGAAGAGCCATCTTGTTGCTCACCAACCCGTTCCAAGTTGAAGACTTCCCCTATCAGAGTGTTCAGTATGATCCATATTGTGTGTGGTTTCTTTTCCATTGGATTGGGCATCGTAGCATGCACCTTTGGTTGTCAGTATCCTGGCGCCGCCATTGTAGCTGGCATAGTAGTAAGTTTCATTTCAATTTTTTAGGCACGAGCGCCAAGAATATGCCAATAAGTGAACTTAATCACTGTCCTACGTGGCATATTCATTTAACAGGGGACTTAATGGACCAGTACACTGGGGTGACCCCCCCCCCCCCCCCCCACTCTTCTTGAAGGATGTACTGGGTTCTTGAAAGTTCACACGAGCCAAATACGTACACTGGGCCTACGGTTAAAAATCTTTATCCGAGAAGACTTGCAACACCACTGGAACTATTGACTTAACCGTTCAGCCAATCAACTCGCCCCTAATTGTGGCACACAAAAATACATTAAATACATGTTTGCAGCGTGTCAAACATCTATGGTTAAAAATCCCCTTGTTTCTTATGTTTCTTAGTTTGTGTGTGGCCCTTAAGAGTTAAATCAAAAATTCACTTTGGACCTTAGACACATTTTAATGCCCACCCCCTCCCTATCCTGCCATGCATGGTGGGAGAATCTGAAATCCCTCAAAACTTGAAATTTTATGTAAATCATAACGTAAATTTCCTCTTTTGATGTAACATAATTCGTAATTCAGCCTTTTTGGCTGCCATGTTTTATGCTTTTTATAAATTTTGAATATATATATTGTTGTACGGTATGAAAGTGCAATTTCCGGGCACCTAGAAGCAGGGGCGGATCCAGACCTCTTCGCCTCTTCGTTGTAGCAGTGCCTAGTGGTCTTGCAAATTCCTACTCTTTCTGTCAGAAATGCCACCAACCTAAACCAAAGACAAAAATAAATATATAGACAAAATAAACTTTTTGCATTGTCTAAATATTAATCAAAGAGGGACTGTATTTAAATCGGCTGCGCGATAACATACAATGATAAATGTTGAGTTTATTATTATGATTTATTTTACAATGTATGGTTAATACAAAATCAATCACAGGGAGGATAGGCTATACATGTTTTGTGATTTTTATAACCTTATTGAAAGGCATATAATTTAATATTATATTTTGTTATTCCAAAATTACACCATAAGTGAAGTTTCCAGGTCTGAATACCCAGTAGGTGGGGTGTTGAAGAGTATAACGCGCCCAACAAAATATTTTGATAAGGTCCACATTCCCAAGACAGTCGAGAATGTACTGAATATAAATTTCTGTGATTAAAAAATAAAATCTTCAATTTTTTTTCAAAACTGAAACTGAAAAAATGTATTAAATTTTGAAATTTTGGCTTTACTGTATATCCGACTGTTCAACCACTAAGCATTGAAATGTTGGCAATCAACCAATCACAGAAGATATTTATGCATATTTAATTACTTTCCCAGCTGGTGGAGGTACAATAAAAATGAATTATTATTTTTCCTGAAGTTACAACTTAAAAGTTGTGGTCATAAGATTAATTTTAGAACTGCATTGTTGACAAGATTATTCGGTTAATCTTTCCACGTTGACGCATGCACTGAAAACATATTTTTTTATTTATTTTTAAAAAAATGGGATTTAACATGGGTATAATGATTTGATAAACAATCATAATTCTCTGTACTATCTAATAAACATTTAAAGAATGGACATCCTTATGTTCTGGTCATATTAGACTGTAATATTTTTAAAGAAGACCATTCAACAAACAACATAAAACAAAATTCCCATGTCGGTGCATGCATAAAACATATAATTTCCTGAAATTTAGATATAGAGCGAACTTCCTTATGTTGTGGTCATATTAGACTGTAATATTTAGAAAGACCATTCAACAAACAACATAAAACAAAATTTCCATGTTGGTGCATGCATATAGCTTATAATTTCCTGAAATTTGGATATATTGCGGACTTCCTTATGATTTAGGTCCAAGGAAATGTAAATGTGTATGGGTCTGAAATTTGTAGGTGACAAAGTGTTCTTCTAATATGTTGTGGTCATAATGTAATATCATTAAAGACCATTCAAAAAACATGAAACATATATCAAACTTTTAGGTTAAACTTTCCGCTTCTAAGCATGCATATAACATAATTTTTTAGATATAATATTTTCATGACAGTCGAGAATGTACTGATTATATAAATTGTAGATAATTACTGTCAGATTGTGTGCATTGAAAATGTGAGGACAAACTCGGCATACGGGCCTCGGTTGACACTCATATCAAAGGGCCTGTTAATTAACCTGGCACAGGAGCCTGTCATCACCTGCTACGATGCCTCCTTCTCCTTATCATCATCACATCATCATCATCATCATCATCATCATTATCTTCATCATTGCAATTATTAATTGTCCATGGTAAAATGGGGGAGAACTATTAATTCAGTGTGTATTCATTCATCAATAGAAGTCTCGTAATGCACATCAGTATATTTTTCAGCATCTAGAAAATCTTTCCGAGGTTAGGAGAACCCCAAGACTAGCTCAAACCACCCCCCGCCCCACGTATAAAATAGTCTTCCAGCGACAGAACAAGCAAACATTATGTTCTTTTCCCATGACCCTGCCCACTGAGGGACCCCATTATGTGCGATAGTCAGGTTAAAGCTTGTTTTTCCATATAATCGCTCAACCTATCGGCGACAGTCGCCTACGGTTCAACGTTTCCTATTGCGTAGCAGACGCAAACGAATCAGGGTGCATTGCTAGCTGCCCTACGCAATCGGGAAGGCACCCCGATTCGTCTGTGAACAACTGAAACGTCTTTTGCCGATAGAGTGAGCGATTCCATGGAAACCCAGCTAAAAATCTGGATCCGCGCCTGAGAGGTCCCTATTCTCAAAATTTTCTATTCTGTCAGCCCCAACCATTTTACTGATATTTGTATAGGTGGAATTTTGCCCTACCTGACTTGGAAGTGTACTGAATACCCAGTACGTTTGAAAACAACTGTGAAAAATTCGCAAGTTGTTCTTTGATGGGACTCGAACCCACGATCTCCAGATCACTAGCCTGGCATCATACTCATACCTCTAGACCGCCGAGCTTGCGCCTAATGGCCAGGGTTGAATTCGAGTCCAAGTAAGCAGCGGGTATTACAGTGTTGATAGTAATTGTCGTGATGGAATATATGACAATAACTGGATTTGCGTTAGGAGAAACATGTATAGGTGTAATTTTGCCCTACCTGACATGGAAATGTACTGAATACTCAGTACGTTTGCAAAAACAATTGCGAAAAAATTGCATGTTGTTCTCGGGTGGGACTCGAACCCACGATCACCAGATCAGGTAGGGCAAAATTACACCTATACATGTTTCTACTGACGCAAATCCAGTTATTTTCATGTATTCTATCACGGCAATAACAATTACTATTTTACTGATATCTTATTTCATTACTAGCATTAACTTTTCATTCATTCAATTCATGTATTCAATCAACAGTCAACCCACTTTAGTACAGTTATTGGAGATATATATATAAAACAGTTATATTAAATTTTTTTCATAATGATTGTTGAAAAAAAAGTTTACACAAGCTAAGTTCTTGTAAAAAATTGTTTCAAAGAAAGCTTTTAAAAACTGTTAAGATTTGATTGTTTAAACAATCATTATGCAAGATATTTAGGTGGTTGATCATGACCAATATAAAATGTAGTTTTATTTTGTTTTATTGTATCTTGAATACAATATTCTATGATTATTACTAACATTTTTTGTTTATTTTCTCGCTGTAGTTTGTAGTGACTGGTGTCATTGGGATGCTCGTGACAAAACATGGAGTCATGGTAACTTTTAATTTTTATAGTTGATTGTTCAAAGTTCATAGTTCATACTTAATTTGTTCTTTCGGAAATTTGTTATAATTTATTTCACACTGTACTTAAATAATTAATAATGATTTTTATAAATTGAGTTTATAGAAGTGTCATTCCATGCCAAATCATAGCATGTTCCTAAGCACCCCAAAATGTTCCTTTATAATAAACAACTGGAAAGTTTAGACTCAACGTTCAATTGGCCACCCATTTTTTCCTTTTGTAGTGGATATACAATATTGTTTTTTATTGCATGAAGTTACAAAACTGCATTGCTCTTCCCAGTTATGTGAAGCCATTCTTTTAGAATCTGCACCAGGGGTGCGACCAGAGAAAGGTAGGGCCATGTAAAGCATCAAGTGTGGCTAATGGTGTTGAGATTTTGTTTATAGTGCTTGACCAAGGTACAAGTACATGAAATTTAAATCAAAATTAACGGGTTTTTTTAGTATAGCCCTGTTCCCCTCTTTTCTTTTCTTTTTTTTTCTTTTTCTATATTTTAGAAATAAAAGTTTTTCTTTATTCTTATTATGCCCACTTTTGACTTGAAATAAGATATGTGTATTTCTTTATAATTATACAAATTTAAAGCACTTAACCATCCCATTACTACACTATTTACATTCACAATTTTATTTTTATTTTCTGCTCCCTCTGGATTTTTTTGGCAAAACTTTTTCCTACATAAGAAAATTTTTATTTTTATCTTTTTTGCCGCTCTACTCTGAGGATCTTTAAAAAATGAAGTTTTCAAAACAAGGTATAAAAAAGCCTCACCTAGTAAAACTGTATAATCTCAGGCAAGCCAACTAATCCCTTTTTTTACCAGTTTTTTTAATAATCAAAAATTAATACCCTAATATCAATTAATTGTTTTAATATCTTCAGTATACAACGTATCAAACAAATGTTTCGCTCTGGAGCCTGTCTTTAAATGTATCAGATGAAATAAGTAGAAAATGATGTTCATTAGGTAGCCAACACTTATGTATAGGGACAGAAGTGTCAATTTGGTGGTTACCATCTCAAGTATATTGAGAAAATAAACAATGAACTTTGAACTTTTATTTGCATATACTCTATCACCTTGCCCCTGATAGATTATTATATTTAAACTCAAGATAATTGTTAAAATATTATTTGCTCTATAACATGGTAATGGTAATGAATGTGTGTTTTATTGTGACTGTACAGTCTCTATATCTTAAAAGAACAAAAATCAAAACCTGAGAATTATCCTGAAACTAACAAAGGCAAACAACCGAAGAGACAAAGAGAAGACAGCAGAAGGAACCAGTGTCACTGCTCTGTTCTGTAGCACCTTGAGATCCTAAATAAGGGCTCCTTGGAATATGATTCACAGTAGCTCTAGTGACACTGCCATCTGGCTATCAACCAGGAATTTCCCAACTAATAAAATTTATATGAATGTTCTTTTTTGTTTTCAGGCTGCAGTTTATGGGATTTTAAGTGCTTTTAGCTGTCTGTTGAGTATTGTTCTGATGGTGCTTATGTTGGCTGCTTCGTCCTCTGGAGAAGGTGAAGATAGAGACATTTGCAGCAGTCATGATTGTGATTATGGCTATCCAGACAACTGTTGTTATGACTACAAATTTTTCTTAACGGTATACATTTTTTTTAAATTTTGTTCTGTAGTTCTATCACAATCTGCAAACACTGAGAATGTATGAGAGTTTAAGTCATAACCGGGGGTTGAGGTCCAAGGTTGCTGACAAGAGACTACACCCACCTCAACCTTAAAGATAATACTAGACATTTAGTGGGACCACAGAAAAGTGCTCTTTCATTGGAGACTTGTATACACTTCTTAGATGCTCTGAAATGACACTTGCAGACTAAAAATGCCTTTCAAATGTGTGTTCCCAGATGAAATACAGTAATTGGCTTCTTCCTGCCTGGACCACCCACACCCCCTCCCCTGTGCCATACATGGATTTTTAATTGAGAATGCTAGTATTTTAGTCTGCTCAGCCAGTACTTGCCTGACATTTTACAGTATGCTATATATATTGTTTTTTTCTTTATTGCTAGTATTCCCACTGGCCATTAAATATACATTTAATTCAGGTTACTATCATTACAGATCAAGATTCAAGATCTTAGATAAATTTTATTGTCACATTTAAAAATATACATGAAATTTACTTTCCTACTTATACAATATAACATACATATCACACAAAATATAAAGATAAATACTACATAAAATACAATAGCACCAAAAATCTTAACTAACTAATAACTATAATAGAAAGACTAAAAATGAAATGGACTTAAAACAATTATGGTATCTAATCTAAGACAGTGATTATCTTTAGAAAATTGATTACCGTAGAGCTGACATGTGTGTGGTATGAATGAATTTTTTAATCGGTTTGTTTTGACAGTAGTTTGTCGAATTCTTACTGATTTGTTGAAAGTTATGTAGCCATTTAATGGGTGGGACTCATCCTTTAATATTCTTTCTAATTTAGTGTGACAGCCTATAGTCACAAATGGAGAGCTGTGCTTCACTTTATAGAAGCATTTCGATATTTATGTAATCCAACAAGTTAAGTGAATCAAATTATCAATGAAAAGAAATTAGACCTTTTTTATACCTTGTTTTGTGAACTTGTGGCACCCCGATGATGATGATGATTTAAAGAAAAAATTATTTTTGGCCAGTTAGTGAACCTGTAAACATGGAAAATGGATATTTCAAAAGAGAAACGCTTCCTGTAATTAATTTTTTGTACACCCAACGTCACCTCCAAAACCGCTCGTATTTTATAAATCTAAAGAATGTCTCAATCAACACTAAATTGTTTACATCATAATATTGCAATTTTTACAAGCATGTGATAGGATTTCAGGCAAAACAAATACTATACTATTTTCTCCTCAGCCTAGATGCTTTTGGCAAACAATTCTTTTCTGCCCTTAAAAAATAAATTCCCTATGCAAGGTATAAAAATGATTATTTAAATTCTTAAGATGAAAACTTTTGTTTTTCAGTGGAAAAATGTTGCAGTTGATGTGGGAATTCTGGTTGTTGCTGTTGTTGAATTGGTTGCCTCCTGGCTGGCTACGACTCTGAGTTTGCGCGACACGAATTGGATCGCAATTTGCTGTTTGAAACAAAATATGGTACGTTGGTCATTGAATTCTTGGCACTGTACTCCCTTGGTCATAACAGAAATTAAACTCGCAAGTTACCTTATTTTTTTTTTAATTATAGAATGAAATGCAGTTTCCAAATTCTGATCAGAGAACTAGAGCTGAACCCTCAGGTAAGAGCACCTGGAGAGCGGGGTGGGGCATTAAATTGATAAGATCAAATATCCTTTTCACATGGTAATTATTATGCAAATAGTAAGTAACACGTAACCAGGTTTACTTAGTGTGAAAGCAAGTCCACATCAAACTTTCCGAGATAGGGCCCTTGCAATAAATACATGCCTCATCGAGGTCTGTTTTTTCTTCCAAGATGTCCCGAGTAATACAGTGCGCAGACGTTCATACTATTAAGGCAACAGGGAACAAATAGATTGTCCTACATACTAGGCGTAGATTAGGCAGCTCAGCAAGCATTAAATACAGAACTGAATATGTTGTCGTCAAGTTTTTGTTATGTTATTAAAGGCAGGCACTCAATGCGTCGGCCGGCGAATCCAACTCCCTGTGAGTGTTAGACGATGCAACGCCATCTGCTGATTACTGGTGGCAGTCTGTACTGATCGTCATTAAACATGATCCGATGCGTGCGCACTGTGAATTGCGTTGGTCTATGGGTGCAGTGAGTGATCCGGCTCAACAGACTGTCTGGAGTGTCATAAGGTAACGCACTGCACCATCGGGATCAGACTAGGCTGGCAAGTAGCGGCGAAGTGAGCAAGACGAGCGTGCACCTCAGGAAGTAGGGGAAAAATTCCAACCAAATAGCAAACTTACTTCCAAAACTTTTCACTTGTTTTGGATTATGGTGTGTGTTCAACGAGTATAATATCTTGGGAGACCAAAGATGTTACAACTTGTTACTAATTTTTAAAAGTCGAAATCTTTTCTGTTAGTGTGAAAAGGGTATTAAAAAGTGTTGTTATATTCTAGATGAAACCTCAGCAGTGAGTGGCCAATCACCAGCCATGAAGCGATGCTGGAAACCTTGTGAGAGCAAAGGTCACCGCAATCTCACCATCGTTATAAGTGTTTTTCATATTATTATCGGTGTCATCTGTGTTGCCCTAGGAATCTTGGCTGTGTTTGCTGAGTGTGAGGTATCGCACATTGGAATGCCTATCTGGTCCGGATTATTGGTAAGACCATTAATATTAATAGTATACTATAAATGCTTGAATAAGTGCCGCTCTCAAATAAGCAACGCTCTCCAATAAGCGTCACACCAAACCTGATTTTTCTATAGCTAAGCGCCATTCCCAAATAAGCGCCGCAGCGCTTAATCAAGAGTACATATTACCCTGTGTGTAATGGAACACTTTGAAAAACAGGGTTTTAAATACAAATGTATACAGTGTTAAAATGATAACGCAATGAAGATACAAGCATTTCTTTATAAATGTTAACATCATAACCAAATGGTGTACCCATCATAACCATGATATTAGTAAGAGTTATACAGTAGTAAAGTATTTTATTTTTTGGATGATAATGAATATATAAATTGTTCTATTTTTCCACAGATATTTGTAGTAATTGGTATTTATGGGTTGTTGAGTGTCACAAAGAAAGGGTCATATGTAAGTGAATCAAAATTTGAATAAATCATAAATTTGTTTTGGTATGATTTAATACATTCATAGGGTACCTCCTTTTTCCGAGCACATTTTGATTATGTATAATCATGATATACTAGAGATAAACTTAACCGTCTTGCTGTAATATAAATTTTATACATCTTACTACAACCCTGTTTCTTTTCGCTTTCTATTCTAGCATTTATGATGTCTACTACCATGGTCACATGGTCTTCAGCTAATATAGGCGAAGAAAATATCAACCACTACATGAAAGGCTGTGTAAATTGGAATTGCTACGTCACACCGACACCGTACTATGATTATTGCTGGGACTGTTTGCCTGGATGTTGCGAAATCGGTGACATGTCTAGTCACAAGGACAGAAACATAAGGGTATGGATCAATCAGTTAAATTTAATTAATTTATTTTATTGCTTCAGATGTGTATCTAGGAGTCTGGAAATAAGGTGGGGGGGTGGGGGTGGTGAGGCTTGAAGGTGAAGTGGGGCCATGCTACAGTAGTAGCTATGTATCATGGGATAAGGACATATGACCCACATATTATCTAAACTAGACCTATATATAATATCAGGCTTTAGCTACACCAGATCACATTCCTGACCCTTACTCATTTATATATACACTACACAATCTCATATAGAGGCCTAGGCCACTACCTGTCACCTGGTACCTGGTATCCTCTGCTCAAAGCTGCTACCATGGATTTCCATTCCCCTCTGCTGCCCTTACACATTGCCAATACCTCATCCTTGTTCTAACTCTGCCCCTACTTCCTTCCATCTTCCCTTCCAATAATGTTCTTTGCAGTGCCTCTTTTCTGACCAGATGGCCAAGTTATTCTAGTCATTCTTCTTTTTATTATTTTGATTAGTGTCCTTTTTGTATTCATTCTTCTCAGTACTTCTCTGTTTCTGATTTTGTCTTTCCATGTGATATTGAGGAGCCTCCATAAAGGCCACTAAGAGGAAAATATATATTCTAAATACCATAAAAGGCAATAAGGGTAAAGAAGGTGGTTGGGTGGCCAGTTTCCTTTCCATCGTCTTTTTAAACATAAGTATATAACTACAACCAGATACCTATTTACACTCGTGGGTGGAGAGAGACAAATACAGGTATATAAGAACTTTTTCCAAGAACACAAGGGAAATGCACAGCGAAGGTTTGAACCTTCAACCTCGAGGTTGAAGGACCGAAACTCAACCAATAAAAGGAAATAACCTCTGAAAATGCCTACTACATCATACCCCAATTTGTGAAGTATCTTCTTCAACTTTAGAATGCACTGCATTTGGATTTAGATTAAAAAGTAATGGAAAAGTTTGGACATTGGGCAACACCCAGCTCCAGTTAGTGATTGTTAAATATTATTTGCTTGTGTAAGAGTTGAACTAAATGAATTATTACTATTTTTTAAATACTGTGCTACAAAACAGGTTTTGCTGGACTCACTCATTGTGGGATTTGGAGTTTTCGAAACGCTAATCTGCATGGTGACCTTTGGCCTTTCTTTTTGTCAACTGAGTTGTTACTTTTGTTGTCAGGGCTCAAACTGCAACTGTTGTCAAACTAAGGTTTGTTTCTTTGTTTTTATGTATTTTATACAGTAATACAAAAATTATAATTTAAGCAAGGTATGTTCATATTAAACTTAAAAAAGCTGATGATGATGACGATAATAATTTAAACAAGACGAACCACAAGCAGATCCTTATCAATGTGCTGACTGAACATACAGTAGATGTGATGATTTCATTATGGTAACTGTGACTGAAGTTATGTTGAGACGGCCTTACGCCTAAAGTAAAGTTTCGACAACCGTAAAATTTTCTGCGCATGTTATTTCTGACGAGTGTCCACACGATGCTTACCCAGGGCATAATGTTCTTTTTATTCAAAGCTAGTTCAAAGCTTAGAAGTAACTATGCACATTTTCAGGAAGTGATAATCAACACTTTCGTTGTCTCTCAACAGTTATTTTGCACACAAATTCTTAAATACGTAAACAATTATGAAAATATTGATCACCGGAAATATTATTATGGCATTCATTTGTAGGTATTTATTTTTTGAAAAATATCGAGGTCAAAATAAATTTACTTGCGACCTCTGAAGTAAGTGCGTCTACACATTGTTACTCTAAGCACATATTCCTTTACATTCCTTGTGTACATGGACGTAGCACACACACTTACTGCTGAGACTGCTCAGGAGTAAATAGTCTGTAGCAATGTTGAAGAGTGTCTTCACGGGCACTACCCAGGGCTTACGACAAGTAAACTGCCACTTCAAAGCTTAACACTCACTTGTCAGAACGTACCTTGAGAAAATGGTAGGAGTGGTTATTAGTGGCTCAGTTAAAATAAACAGCAAGTACATTTACAAAATATCTAATTTAAGTCATTTTTATTTTAAGAATAATAAACAATACCAGATGGTTATGGGCCCCAATGGTAATGTGATGATGTTACCTATACCAAGAGCAGCACATGCTATGCCGATGATGGTACAGAACCAGCCGATGATGGTACAGAACCAGCCGATGATGGTGCAGCACCAACCTATGATGCTTCCCAACCAACTTATTGCTGCTCAGAACCAACAAGTAGGAGCTCAAACCTCTGGAACTGGAGAACATACTGGACCTGAAGAACAACAAGTATGTGGTGCACAACAACCAGCCGTCCAGGCACAGGGGCAACCAATGTTGGTCCCGAGTTCTGGCCAGCTAATGATGGTAGGTGGACAGGGACAACCAATGATGCTTCCAGCTCAGGGGCAACCAATGGTGGTACATCAAGTTCAGGGGCAACCAATGATCGTCCAAGCTCAGGGGCAACCAATGATGGTACATCAAGGTCAGGGGCAACCAATGTTTCAACAACCAATGTTTGTGCAAGGTGTGGGGCAAGTAGGTATGGTTCAAGAACAGGGACAGCCAACCAATCAGACAGTCATGATTCCAGGACAAAGTCAGCCACTTCAAACGGTGACCCAAGCTCAGATTCCGAACCATGAGCAACAGATACAAGCTACTGGAGAACCTGATGACAATGGAGATGCAATGGCATTGGTAGCTGGACAAGATGCTGGCAGCATCTCAAACCCAAACTGTGTAAATGTCCCATTTTTGTAAAGCACAACGATCACAATTTAATTTTCATCATCCTTTATTAGGCCTAAAAAAATTGTTTGTTTGCCCTCCAACACCCACCTTAGCTCACGGAAAAATAGGGGCGGTGTTTTTAAAAAAAAAAGTTTTCTTTCGATTTTTTGTTCACAAATTTTAAAAAGTGATCACCATTATAGGCCTAAATTCATTGCAAAATATCGATTATAGGTTATTTTTTCTTTGAAAAACAAATAGCGAGACAGGCTTAATTGAAAGCATTGCGATTTAATATGTGAATTTTGGTGACAGGAGAAAAAAAAAATTTTTAAAAACCTTTTTTGTGCTCGCCCCTCCTACACAATTTTCAGCATTAAAGGATAAACAAACAATTTAATTTTAGGCTTTATATTCAAAATTGTCTCAAATGCTGTTCTTATGATATACTCAGTATACTGGTTTAGTTTTATTTAGAAGAAAAATTTTTATATAAATATACAGAATTCTAATATTGTACTATTATTCTATAAGAGAGTGTTTTAAACATGTGTTTAGTGTTGTAATTGTTGTAACAATTTATTAATGGTCTCAAATGCTGTTCTTATGATATACTCAGTATACTGGTTTAGTGTTATTTAGAAGAAAAAATTATATAAATATACAAAATTCTAATATTGGCTATTATTCATAAGAGAGTGTTTTAAACATGTGTTTAGTGTTGTAATTGTCAAATTCTTTTAGATAGCCTAGTATACTGGTAAAATAATTTTATAGAGGATTATATCTGATTATAAAGTGTTTTATTGAAATACAGTTAACATTAGTTTGAGTATACCGCCACTGTTTTTTTGACGGGTGTAGGGTGTGAAAATTGCGATATAAGATAAGTGAATACAACCACTTAGCGAAATTTGCCGCTCAAGCCCTCTCTATTCCGAAATTAATAAAATCCGCCACTGTTTAATGATAATAATGAAAAAAATTTGATTGGTATTTGTATTTTTAACCAGTGTATATATTCAGTGTATGCTAAATATACCATGGTAATAATATATCTAGTTTTTGGGGGTTTGGGGTGGTATTATAAACATTTGCAGAGAGATAAAAGCAGAATCGATTGTCTAGTGAGGAGAGAGTGAAAAGACAAATGATGTGTATAGATCAGTTTACATAGAGCAGCTGATAAAAAAAAAAAATGTGTTCTATGTTGTTTTAAGGATTCGGTGTATGCATTCCCATTAAAAAGCTATGTACAGTATTTAGACTGATGACACGCAAATCATTGTTCCTGCTCTTTCAAGCTTGCCAATATTATATCTATTATATTTTTTTTAACAATATTTGTGATATTCTCTTTTTTATAATTCATATTCTTGTATGTTTCTTGGCTGGGGGACTAATAAAGGCTACGTTCTCACAAACCCGGGACAAGTACACCAGGATAACCCCTACTTCTCTATAATGTATATAGCTCGCCCTCCTTCATATTACAGTTGTGGCATTCCATTGTTTGTACTACTTTATATGTTATGCAGATTAACTCACTGTATTCATTATTGCTATTTTGTATTTTGAACTGGATTTGGCTTGTAATAATTACACAGATATTATTAAAGCATGGTTTTTATTTTAAATGCTGAAGACGTACAGTACTATTATTTCAGTGTATTGCCTATGTAGCTCTCTACACAATAATAATAATAATAGTAATAATCTCCACCCAGGTTCTTTTCAGCTACAAACCAAATGAAACAGCAAGCAACAAAATATATGCAATCCTATATAAAACACTATTTATTAATACTATTGCTCACTCATAAAAATCGATACTAACTACACTAATCTATCGAAGCACACATTTCCGAGGAATATGGATATACTTCTAAGTGGTATATTACAACCATTCTGATATCTGTTACTCCGAAAAATATTGCATAATCGCAGTGCATCTAAAGAAATCGTTGAACAAACGATCCAAGTTAATCTTAGCTGGCATCACCAAAACAGTCACTGGCAAATTAATATTTCTAGCCCATAAGTGCAACCTGCTTGACAGGGCAAAATTTTTTTCCTATGACGCGCTGCCAGTGATCGTTAATGACCACAATCATATCATTCGCATACTCATTTTTCTATAACTTAAAGTATGTATGTCAACATACCACCCTTACCCAATTTCGAAAATCTGAAAATCTAGCTTAATATCCCATATTCCTGAATTATTGTAATAGTTCTGAGAGAATCATAAACAATATCAACACCAAAAGAATATACAGGTGGAATAATCAAACCAAAAACAACACTTGTTGAAGAGGCAAAAATACACATCACTATACACTAAAAGGTACTTTTATTTGTTGGTTTATTTTCATTTGTTTACATTCAACTCTTTCTTATATCAATGAACATATCTAAAATACAGGAGTTGATGATAGTGGAGAAGACAATATTGAAGAAAGGAAGTTCTTAACACTTTCTTTGTAAAAATAACTTCTTTCCAGTCATGCAACTTGCTATGCAAGTTAAACACCTGTATTAAGTACAACACTGGATGATGACATTGTTATGAAGACACAAATAAACAAGTTGGTAAAACACAAGACATTTAAACAGGGTAAAAGTTCAGATTAGACTAATGAATAAAAAATATTAATCATAGGTAACTTTCTGAATAATTTCAATAACAATTTTATTCGATGATTAGCTGCGATATTCGCCAAAGTCCAACAATATGGAAATTGCCCTCCCAGCATATTAAATACTTCAAACAATTGCTGCTACTTATCAATTTTTCTGTAATTTTACCATATATGGGATAGATAATGTCATATCACACCTATATATTGGAAAAATCCACAGATATTTGTCACATAAAACTATAATTGCATATTATACGTCATTGGTGATGTCATCACTTTCATTTGCACTGAATTTTCCTATCCCCTACTGATAATGCCTCCGATTTTTTGTGTCTCGTGTGCAAAAAGCTCAAAGCTGGGGTGCTTTTACTACAGTACTGTAAAGAGCGATGGAATATTTCGTTGCTAGGCCAAGCCATGAATGCACACAGCGAAGCTAACAAATCTCGCTCTACAGCACTGTTTAACACAAATGAAGCCAAGATTGTTCTAGGAAATAATACTGTAGCTCCTTCAGTCTTTATTTCCTATAGTTTCCTGAAAACCTGACTATAATTGCTTAACAGTGTGGAAAAGGGATACTTGAGTGCTATAGTATTCATGATTTTTAAAATGAGACTTGTATCTAAAAGAGACTTTCGTATTCAAGATCACAAATACACTAATCATGATATGATTTTAGTCACATAATTCACTGCTACTCTTCATCTACATCTGGACCAAGATTGGTGTGAACGCATACACTAAATTAGCTTATATATTTCAAGAATGTAACTCTACAACGGACATAGTTTTGATATAAACAAGGCTATAGTCCGTCATTGCATACAGTATGTACAATTATTTCAAATGATATTGATAGCAAATATGTATCTAAATTACAGAAGGCACTATGTGCTGCAAGGTAATTACAGAACATACAATTCATTATATAAATAAGCAGATATAGACGAATAAAATTGATTTCAGTGGCGGATTCAAGGTGGACATAGCCGGACCGCGACACCCCCTCTACCCAAACCCAAAATGTTTTCCAAATTATATAAAAAAATTGGAGACAATTATATTCAAATGCAAATCTGAGAGTGCCATTATCACTCATCTAGAGATCAAAATCGTAAATTTTCTTACTGCAGCCCCAACCTTGTCCTTGGTGTGGCTGTGGTGGTCTTTACCCTCTATTTGTGAAAGGTCCTCCTTGGGCCCTCTCTACTGCATTTCAAATTCATGGGTCTGCCACTGGCTCTAATGAAACCCAGCCAAAACAAAATTTACAATGACATGCTTTATTAAAGGTTTCCATTCCAAAACCCTGATCTGTAATCTAAATCTAGTTACAATAATAATTTTACAACATGATCAAACATTTACATATATAATAAATCATTTCCCCTTTTAATAAAATTATCAATTATTATATTCTCTTCATGATCGTAATTATAATAACATTAAAAATGGTACAAGGCAATGTCACAGTATAGGCCACTTCACAGGTGGGCGGAATGCAGGCAATTTTTTGCGGCCCGCGGAAATGAATTAAAAACCCTGTGTGTGTGGCCCTCAAAGTAACACTGGCTAGAAAACGCCTTGTTTTTACAGCCCGACACCGATCATCTGTAAAAAGTAATATTAAAACTGAGAATAAAGTGGTGTACGTGCAGTGCTTGGAGGTTTTTGGAAGCATCTAATTTTGGGTGGGACCTCAGTGTTTAATAATAAGAAATCACTTTGGTCCTCTGACCAATTTCTATGCCCACCCCTGGTCTACTTCATCGATCATCATAGCTGATCCAGACAAAAGAAGGAATAGGGGCGGATCCAGAACTTATGGGGACACTAAATTAACAGAATAGATAAGTGGGGAGCACTAGCAGCACTCGCATAATGAAGGACTGGAGGCCCCTATTAAAAGAATTAAATTATTATTTTTATTGTTTTTTTTCCCCACCACCCTGGATCTGTCCCTGAGAGTACAATGGTCTGGACAAATTTTGGTCTTTGGTGGAAGGATGTGGAAATTACACTTTGAAAGGTTACACATAGCCTGAATTCATTTTAACATTAATATCTCTTTCTAGGAATTTGGTGTAGAACCCTTCTCTCCTGTTTAGACACTTTTTTATTCAACCTATTTCATTTCTATAAAAAAAAATGGGGCACATGTATTCCCTTTTCACTTATCAATTCTGTATGAATTTCATATATAAATCATAGAAAAAAAATTCTATTTATGGAAGACTTGTGGTTAACTACAGGAATCACTATTTCATAAAACAAAATACTTAATTTCAATACTGACTTGCTTAATATAAATTAAACTATTACCATTTTATACTCTTCATTATCATTTGATTAATAAAATCTTACACTGAAATTATTAGATATACATTTGCCTCTACTTTTAAGAAGCATTTCTCATCATCATTTACTTTTTTTTAAATTTTTTTTATATAATTCCAATATTTATGTAAAAATGTTTAATTTGCCCTCATGATATATTTTGGTTCAATGTTGTTCTTACAACAGGTCACTTGAAGTTCCCCTATAAATAAACCATGGTTTCCATTGGGATGAATACCATACTTGTGGCTATGTAGTGGATACTTACATGTACAGTATCTACATTTTTCAAACCAACATATATTCACATTTATTTGTTTTATCCAACAGGTCCGTCAAAAGGTAGATGTCACTCATTGGATTCTATTATGGATTTCTTGAATATTCATTTAATCAGTATTATTTTTACTAGGTGGGAGATAAATGTGTGCACGATATACAAACAAATTATTAAAGAAGGAAACAGGAATCAATTTTCCTAGTACTGGAAAAATCTTCATAAGACCACTGATGGAAAATTGATAATAGATGGAGAGACATAATATTTCTTCATAATATGTCAGGTGGAGAGACCTACACAGACTCCCACGATGCTAGGTATTATGATAAGGTTTATAAGGTACAGTACACTATATAAATACATCACATATTTGATTAATATTCAGGCTTAAACAAAAAATTGTTTGTTTGCCCTCCTCACCCGCCCCTAACTCACTAACTGATAGTAAATTAGTACTTTAGTATTCTTTTTATAAGTATCCATAAAGGTAGATTATTACAAATCTAGAGTATTTTTCAAGACAATTGGTTCAGGAAAACAATATAAAAACCATCTTAAATTCAATTTATAATTCTCCTAAAATAAACAATTAAATCACTTAAAATAACTTGATATGCTAATTTTACAATTAAACTTTGGTTTAGATTTTTAAAATAAAAATAGTTTCTTCAGTTTATTGTGGGTGAAGTTGGTGTCCTACAGAATTGAACATTAAACTAAAGATTAACAATACTCCTGTAGTGTCTTGGATGACACATTCCATTTTGTCCACTCACTATTGTTTTTCTTTTCTTTTTATATATCTGCCTCATGTATATTTGTGAAGCACAGAGTGGCTTTTGGTCATTCATGCTACGTCCAAAAAATAACAACAGCAACAAAATAATTTAAATACTATTAATAGCTACTAGACCTTAGGAGTGATGTTTGCCTTATAATCAATACTGAGTACATTCCCAAATATTTGCAAACAAAATTGCAAGTGATTTGGATGGGAATCGAACCCATGACCTCCAGATAACTAGCCTGGTGTCATAACCACCAGCTCACCAACCTTGCGCTTACTGACTAGTGTTGACATTTTTTCTTGAGTATTTAGGAACAAACTGAGTATTCAGTATGGTTACATGTCAAGTAGGGCAAAAATCACTCTATATTTTCCTGACAAACACACACCACAATTACTAGACCTTCATTCGAAAACATACACTGCCCATTGCTTTTTTTTAACCGTCCTATTTCATTTAATTTAACAGCTGTTTCATTTCATTATATTTATCACTGTTCAAAAAAATCAATCACTCCAACAATGAACTGATCCAACAACAGCCTTTTCCCACAACCCATTAGGCTTTGGAATATTAGTTGTTTAATAAAGCCTATAATAGGCCTACCTTTTTTTGTAGCCTAGAGGTTTGCAGCTCTAGGCTACATTCAGGACCCTGACCGCGAGGCTGTTGCCTATCTCACCGGTATTACCACTATGAGGCTAGGCCCCAGTAATAACAAATATAGTACCAACATAATTTTTTATGTTTCTCTCACAATTCTGAGTAAATATATCTTCTTACTATAACTACTCAATCTACATGTAAATAGTTATTGGTGAAGCCATTATATCTCTCATATTTTTTTTGGTAGTTATTTAAATTTATATCATCGCAGTGCAATTTAACAATGAAACACTGTCTGCCATGTAACATTTCATAATTTCACCGACCTATTTGCAACAGGTAAAACAATGCGATTCTATAAAGAACGCAAAGCCACAACATGCATGCAGCAGATCCATTCACGCTTCCACCGACAATCAGCAGACAGTGATTCATCGTACGACAGTCATACATATAAAACATATAATGAACTAGTATATAGAACTAATCATAAAACCTTTGACCTCAT